GGTATGCTGATGGTGGTTTAGGTGGAACAAGTGAGGCTCAAGGAGTTTATTTTCCATGTTGCATCGTGGCATGTAAATTAACACGTGATTTGAGCCGCAAAAGTCCCCACGGGAGCGAATCGTTCTGCGTCTGCGCATTCTCGGTTCGGACGCATGAGTACTATAGTACAGTACCCCTCTCTCCTCTAAGCGAGCAGTTTACCACACCAGTTTTACTGCAATAACAAACGAGGAAAAACAATAGGTCTCACACTCGGGTGTAGCGGCTCCAGGCCGAATGAACTTACTCCCCTCATGCGAAACAAAAGAATCGATGAGGCATGCCTTCTGATCAGACAAGAAAGAAGCCTTGATCTCTGCAGTTCCTGGCTATCCGGTCCCCTGTGAATATTCACGGCAGCTGTGCTAGTCATCTGGCATACAAAGGCCCCAGCGCGTGCCGCAATCACCCTCCTTCCACGGTAGGCAGGAACAAAATCCCCTTCATGTATACCATATTTTAATACTGCAGGCCACATCGAGGGGGCAGCGTGCGCCATATAGAGTAAATGGCAGGTCGGCCAAAGTGATCGATCAAAGTTTAGTCGGTATAGAATACTGAAATAAAATCTCGGATCCGAGAGTTATTGGATCCTATCTGACTTATTAGATCATAATTAACAGCTTCTACACCCACATATATTGCACTATACTGCCACCCAAGTCCCTGAAACTTCATTTACTCTGTATCACTACCTGTATCCGATGAAGTATACTGTACATGCGAATAGCAGCCGCCCCCCTGTGCTGTAGTTTCACTACTACATTTCCAAAGCTCTGCTTCGTATTTGGCACCCCTTTAACAACGATTACAACTTCCATAGTTCTTTCAATAAGACTTTCCCCTAAGCCCTTCCAATCTTCCTATCAGCACTAGGCAAACAGCACTAAATCTATTGGATCAATGATGCACGATGCTGTAGCTTGTTAACGACGTCTTACCCTTGCCCCGGAATACTCCTTTTGAGCTGTGATCGGTTCTCCCATCATATGATACTATCAACTTCCTATCACAGTTCAAAGTAGTTAGTTTCATCCGCACGAATATATATGGAATCTCCCCCAAACCCACTCAGAGGGGTTAGGGCTTAAGGATGTTACCGACGTTTATTCTATACTAGCATAGCAGGCAATTCAGAAGTCTGATCGCCTCCTGGATTTCTCTCACCTCGCGGCCAAACATCTTCTTGCTCTCTCCTCGCCAGGTCTATGGTAGAGAAATTGCCAACAGTATAATGTATGGCAGGGTGGCTGGGGTCTATGGCTTTGTCAGAGTATACAAAGACATAAAGTCATAGAGAAGGACATTGTGGCAGGCGAGATTACAGAATACAGATTACAAGATATTGGCAGCAGGGAGAACGAGAACGAGAAGCTTCTGGGGCGCTGAAACAGGGACTATACGATACAAATTACAACACCGACACCACCATACAAATTCGCGGTATTCATCGAATCTAGCCACTGAAAATACTTATATCTGGGAATTGCTTGTTTTCCTGTTTCTAGTTCCCTTCTTCTGCTCATGTTGTCCACTATCGAACAGACAATCCCGTATGAACGAACCAGGTGCACTCCAACAGTGGATTCTCGAGCTGCCAGTCTATCCAAGCCCCGGGACCAATCCGGCACGCCTGGGACTTTCTGTGGGCTGGCCTACCTGGATCGCGTGGTCATTTGGCCTGGCCGGGGAAGAGTGCCGATATCAGCAGACCTCCGGGTGATCAAATATGATTGCACTGTTTCTGCGTGTTCTCAGAGCATACATATACGTTGAAATTGATTCAACTCAATACTAGTATGTGCACGGAATTCCTTGCACTGGTGTGATGGTAGTGGGTGGAATGTCACATTCACTAAGATTGCGGACGGGAGTAGTTCCAAATATATTTTCGTAAGTTATACGATATCAGCGAATCCCTACGCGCAAGTACCTGCGCTGAGGGTGTGGCTTGAGTGCCGCAACCCCCTCGGTCTTGCAAGCTCGCGTTTCCCGCGCACTCCCTCTGACTGCCTGACCCCTCCCTGGCACGTTCTGGCCTATCCTAATATTTTGCTCAATGAAATGTTATTCTTAATATGATATCCAAAGCCTAACTTAGTTGATATCCCCGAAAGTCCCCAGGTACCGGTCTTTCATGATATGAAACAGGGACTTCCTTCTCCCCATCCTAATATATTCTATAATATTTTACCTAGTATGATACTGGTAGCATACCCGTTGTCCACAATTTTACTGTGTCAATGGATGTATCTAATTCTTAGATTTGATCTTTCTTTACAAACACTCTGAGTACTATAGATCGAATTATAACAAGCATAACTATAAAGTTGCCTTAAAATGTAAAGCGCTGTGGAGCCGCAAATTTGTGCTGAGCCGGCGGGCACTCAGGACGATAGCTCCCCAAAAGCGACCTTTCAGGCATATGGGGGTTGCTGTGCCCTAGCCACAACTGAGCCACGAGTAAACCCACGAATTTGTTAGAAATTGCGAGGTGCTGCTCAGAACGCTCTAGCGATAGTTTGTGTGTTTGTGCCCATAGTCTCTGGGAGCGTGCTTTGGGTTCCACGCGCGCAGTTTGGTTTTTCGGGAAAGCTCTTCCGCCGCCCGAATGCAGGGGATCTTGGAGCAATAAATCCCGGGGAAGGAACGCAGAAAAAGCGGAAAGGCCATAGAGAAGATCAGAGGGTCAACATCCGGAGGCTATGGGCAGCCAGGGTTTTCTCTTCCCTTTGTTAGCTTCTCTTATTTGGGTGGGAGACGTACCTGAGGGGTTAGGACCTCGTTGTTCCCGCGGTTGATGTATGCTCGTGTTATCCCCATTAGTTTGGCGTGCGCGATAAAGTGAGTTAGACGGAGCGAAGAGTTCCCCCCCCTTGTGAGTTGTACGATCGTCTAACGTGTGCGCTTTGCGTTTCGTTTCGTTTCGTAGTATTCGTAGTGGGCCATTGGTTTCACCGTTTCACATGGTCATGATTAGTTTCACAGGCTATGATGCGCTCGTTCCGCCCAAGCGCCTTACCTTCGCCGGTTGTTCACCATTTTTTCATGTTCACCGTTTGTTCGTTTGTTGCGCTCTCGCGAAAGGCTTCGCTGATTGGGAGGTGTAAAACAATGGAGTCCCAATCCCCCAGGTATCATACGTCCCCCACACACCGGCAAAAAAGAAAAGCCAACAAAAGAAAGACAGAAACCCCACCGCCCATAGCGCCCCGGCGCCCTCCGGGCCTTTCTTCCTCCACCCCAGTGTTCCCGCCTTCCTTCCGGCTGATGCCCTGCTCCGAGACCCCCACGCATTCCCGTGGCACAAGTGCTTTCACAGGAAGCCAAACTGAGCGCGCGGAAGCTACAGTACGCCACAGCCAAAGTGCGCCGGGGACCAAAGCGCTCTCATAGAGAAAAACAAAAAAAAACTATGCCAATAAAAAACCACTCATCATGAGAGCATACCGAGCATGGTAACGGATAAAATTTTCAACCATCCCGAGATATCGCATCCCTGGGAATTTACAGATATACGCAGACATCTCAAGACATTGAAGGAGTCTCGGGATATTTACCGATAGGGGCAGCATATCTACCTTGCATTAACAGAATATTCAAAAAAAAAATTATAAGGCGAATTATGAAAGCCTACCAGCGCCCCCGGGGGCACGTATCACCCTAGCCTGTCTCTTTTACCTAGCCTAGCCGGACTGTATATCTATAGGCGATGTCCGGGTGAGCCTGGCTGCCTGCGAAGACTGCTCCCGGATTCCTACCTTCCTCACATTCTTCTCTTTCCTTCTCTTCTCCTCGTTGTCGTGTCCCCGCTCTCCTCTCTCCACTTTCCCTCCGTTCAGCCCCCCACCAGCTCCCCCCTTCTATTCCCCACGTTACGTCCAATGCCCCAGTACCCACTTTCCCCTCCCCACCACCTATTATTTCCAGACATCCAACCCCTCTCCTGGTTGTTCCCAACATGATCACGAGCCACTGCACTGCATATTTCTGGGTAAACCAAACCTCTGAATATTTGCACCCCATAATCGCAAGAAACAAAGAGAATAAGTGCCAAGTTCTGGAAGAAGGAGCCATATCTGTGCGATTGCTAACAAGTGAGAGCTGGTGTTTCTCGATACACTAGGCAACAACTCACCATCTCTCACTCATCGCGCTGTCGTTTGCATACTAGCAGCGCTATAGCCAGATTTCCGACAATTTTTGGCTGTTCTTGTGGCCCATAGTGCCCCTCGATGAATCACGTTGTAATTTCATATGCCGTACGGGCACGGGAGGATACGGCATCAGGCCTTTGGCGAAAACGCAGGGAGGGGAGATGTACGTTACCGCACGGCCTTTTTGTTATCTTAGAATGCAGAGCCAAACGCGTCCCAGTGGGAAAGCCGACAGGGAGTCTGCCAGCAGGGAGGGAATGGGAGGGCGGTCAGTAATTTGCATCATGTTTCGGCTTTCGCCATACAATGTTGAACAATAACGAACGAGTGAGTTCTTATGATTCCGAGTAGTAAAAGAGGACTGATTAATGAATTTATCGTATTGGGTGGGAAGGCATAGGAACTAATATATCGGTAAAAGAGAAAAGTAACAAAAGAAAATAAATATATATAAAAGACGTAAAAATTCCCAACACTTCCTTCGGACCACACTGCAACAACTTCGCACCCCTGACCTCTTGTTTGTCACTCTAGTTGGTCCTACACAGTCTGCCACTTTTGCCCCGTATATTCCTACTGTCTCCCCGCCGGTTGGAGCTAGTAGCCCACCAGCCACACAGCTGGTGCAACCGAACAGCCACCGAAACAGCGAATCATGTTGCCGGCCTACTAACCTGGCGGCAGGCAGCGATCCTGCGTGAACGGCGAAGAACTGTCTTCCGCGGGGAACGACGGGGGGTAGAGCCAACGGATTGGGACCGCATATTGTCAAGGTTTACTGGAAGTTCCTGCCGTGGACGCCACCTTATCGTACCTGAATCGCCACGCCCACCCTGGAGCCGCACCACCGTAGCCAGGCTTTTGACACTTGATAGGGTGTTTGGATGATCTGGCCCAGGAATCTTCTCGTACCCCTCGAGTGCACACCGAAGCATCTTCTCTGATTCGTCGTACTTTCCTTGGGATTGCAGCACCGTAGCCAGGTTGTTGGGACTTATTAGAGTGCTTGGGTGGTCCGGGCCAAGAATGTTCTCGCACCCCTCTAGTCCACGCCGAAGCATCTTCTCCGATTCCTCATACTTTCCTTGGTCCCGCAGCACCCCAGCCAGGTTGTTGACACTTGTTAGGGTGCTCGGGTGGTCCGGTCCAAGAATCTTCTCGCACCCCTCCAGTCCACGCCGAAGCATCTTCTCCGATTCCTCGTACTTTCCTTGGTCTCGCAGCACCCCAGCCAGGTTGTTGACACTTGTTAGGGTGCTTGGGTGGTCGGGTCCAAGAAGCTTCTCGTGCCCATCCAATCCACGCCGAACCATATTCTCTGATTCGTCGTACTTTCCTTGGGATTGCAGCACCGTAGCCAGGTTGTTGACACTTGCTATGGTGTTTGGGTGGTCTGGTCCAAGAATCTTCCCGCACCCCTCCAGTGCACGCCGATGCATCTTCTCTGATTCGTCGTAATTTCCTTGGTCCCACAGTACCAGAGCCAGGCTATTGAAACTTTTTAGGGTGTCTGGGTGGTCTGGTCCAAGTATCTTCTCGTGCCCCTCCAGTGCACGCCGGTGCAACTTCTCTGATTCGTCGTACTTTCCTTGCCGAGATAGCGCCCAAGCCAAGTGTCGAATTGCGTCCTGCACGATTAGATGATTTGGGTCCAATGATTCCCCAATATCTTCTAATAACCTCCGAATCATGTCCTCGGCTACATTTGCCTTTCCTTGATGTATACTTATCGAACCCAGGCATAGAACTCTCCTCGGACCCTCCTCATCCCAGTCATGCTCTTTGCTCTCCTCCCGAAGTGCAATACATCGACGCAATTGAGTTTCTGCGTTATTATATGAACCCATATCATGAAAGTACCATCCCAGGCGAAAACAAAGCTCTTCGGCAATGGGATCCGTTAAACTTCTGGTTACTACAAGTACGTGAGGAATGTATGCAGAACTAACACCCTTCCACGTGGTCCAATGCCGAGGGAAAACTCTTGAAACCACTTTCAGTGCGTTGGCCCTCCATCGACTTAACTCTTCTGCTGGTAAATACACTTGCAAAGACAGTTGCACTAATCGGTGGAGCTCGTAAAATGTCTTGTCCTCATGTGTGATGGCCGTAACTAGCGAAAATCCTAATAGTTTTCCAATTGCCTCACGAAACAGGATTTGATCGTCTATCCCTTCCAAACCACTCTGGCGCAATAGCTCTTCGGGTATGTTCTGACGATCGAAGAAGGCGATTAAATGCAAAAGATCTGCAGCTAGGGGCATCCCCCTTGTAATTCGGTCAAAGGTGATGAAGTACGTAGTGAGGGTGCTCTCAGCAATATCGGTCTCTCGTTGGATATCGCAAAACGGCCGTGAAAGAAGTCTCTTGGCGTGTTCGTCGCTTTCCCGAAAAATGGACCAGTAAGTAGAAGGCGGAGTCTGGGTTTCAGCCATGAAGGCTGCTGCGCCTATGATGGCCAGTGGGATGTGATGTATAGATTTCAGGATCATTGTGATCGCTACTTTTTCTTCATCCCTGGAGCTGTTGAAGTTACCCAAGAGTTTTAAAAACAATTCTTGGGCTTCATTCTGTGGCATTTTTCCGACCTCAATCATTCCACAACGCTCTCGTAATGCAACCTGAGCTGATCTGGTGGTGAGTATCAAAGTGCCCTGAGACCCTTGTGGTACAAATTTGGAAATGCGACCGCGGTTGCCCATAAAGTCCTCCTCATTGTCGGCATTGTCAATAACCAAAACCCAATCGCCACTGGCTTGTCCTTCAAACCACCTCTTTATATTTAACAGGAATCCCTCTTCGTCTGGCTCGGTGCTGGGTGGTGGAATCCGAACAAGTTGTGCAATGGCTCTCAAGTCCTCGCTAAATTTTGGTAGCCCACTCCCGTGCACCCAGAAAACGTCACAATCGCTCTCGCTTGCGCGCCGATAGAGGTATTCGAGGGCAATCTGGGTTTTCCTGAGCGAGGTTAGTAGACTCCTGAAATGGCGATCATGAATACGTACCCTGAACCGCCCAATCCATGAAGCGCGATCCGGTTGTGCCCGGTAGGCTCCGAAAACCTCCTTAGCGATTCAATGAGATCCTCACGGCCAGTGAACTTGCTATTTCTGCAATAGGGGATTATGCGACAAGGCCTGGATGCTTGTTCTACTACTAATTGCGCATTAGAACATTGCCCGAAATCTCCCTGGAAAGCTGACAATACCTCTTCCCCCAGCTCCAAACACACATCCTTGATTAATTGTTCCGTAATTCGGGGAATTTTTCAGGTAACCCGTGTTATTATTACTGCCGAAAACATTGCGATCTCCGGAGTTTGCGCTGAAGTCTCCCCGGATATCGCTCTGGATTCCTCTGGGAATGATATTAGGCGCATGCTTACTGTTTTTGAAATCGCAGACCTTGGACGGAAGGGGAGCCTACCGGTTCATCCTGTGCTCTAGTTTGGAGCTCACTACAGAGCCGCCTTCGAAGATTGAGAAGGAAAGGGCAGTAACCAATAAGATGTCGCTAGCGTACCGGTATCTGAAACGGGAAAGGAGGACGATCTCGCCAACCGAGGCTGTTCAAAATCGTTTGGCTCGCGCTAAAACAAGTCAATACTGCGAGATATGGCACCAAATAACGAGTCGCCGAGGACCCAACCTTGAATGGAGATGAATAATTCTCTATTTTTGAGGTAGCTTTGGCATGTAATCCCAGCTCCGGGTCGGGCTATTCAACTCCAAAGGAGCCTAATGATCTGGCAAAAGGGTACAGAATGGGTATTAGAGCGACGGCGTCTCTGGGCAGTGAGTAGGATGAAAATTCACTCCGAGCAACTCGGAAGTCTTCAGCTAGCAGCCTAGCGGGGGAGACGCTCGGGAAAAGTGAAGAATACGGTACCCTAACCCTATAGACAGCTCCCTCGGATAACCGTCTTGGAAGTGTGGGGGCAGTTGGTTGCCCTTGGAAAATAATTAGGATTTGGTGCGTTTCTTTTTACGCCTCAGAAGAGTCTACATGAGATGATAAGCCGACAACAACCTCTGAACTGCACAGGATTTTTCTGCATACCACGAGCGCGAGCACAGCTCGGGTGCCTAATATAGTCGCAGCGCATTCTAGAATACACTTTTGAGTCCTCTATCGGTTGGAACTGCTGACTGTAGAAATCTGAGCATACTCGTGTAACCAACCATGCTGACACACAAAAAGAGCTGGGCCCCTCCTCGGAGGGTGCCTTCCACCGATATGATATGACACAGCACCCCCGTCCCCCATCAGGCTGTCCCATCTGCAAGGTTAAACCAGCGCGCAATCCTGCCCCGACACCGACCGAACCTCGAAAACCACAGCCGGCGCATGGTACAGTGAAAATCGTAGACATAAGTTACCACTCCCGCATTGTATCAATCATAATTTCGTGAGGCCCATGAAAACCGGCAGACCTTTTTCTGCACGCGTAAGCGCTGTCAGCCCTGCAGTGGGAACTCCCAACCGGAATGGGACAGGTGGTATTGAAGGTGGCACGAGGCGGCTTTCATCTAGCGTTTAATTTAGGGTATCGGTCTGATAAATGGCCAGAAAATGCCATGCGGCAACACACATCCCACTCAGCTCTATTGAAGTTAGAATTTTGGACGTCCAAGGTATAATAGCGCGCGAGGTTCAATTATTATGGTGGATAGGGTACCGGTAGTGTACTAAGCAACAAGGCTAGAGCATATGCTCGAGTCTAGTACTGTATCATACGGTAGTTTGCCTCATCAACCGGTTGGAACAGGTATTCTTCGGCATAGTAGAGAGGAAATGTGTGCCTGCGGCTGTGCAATACGGACTGGTGTGCCACGAATCCAGACGTTACCCGAGGTCGCATGGCAGTTAGCCCCCACGAATATTCGCCAAGTTGTTTTTCGTCGGAGAGGCGGATTCTCTTGGAGGCTTAGCCTCCACTACTGGTATGATACCCGCGGTCTCGGTTACACTATCAAAGAGTACGCGGTCAATTTGGTAACTTCAGGATCTCTCTATATTGGATACTATATCCATCCAATTCCCTCTTTATTGTAATTGAACTTCCGCCACAGCCCCCCCCCGACCCGCTCATGAAGTATACGGTATTGTACTCAGTACATTCAAACAACAGTCACCCCTGCTTGCCTCATTGGATCGCTACTACTTTTCCGAATTCCTGCTTGACATTAGTGCTCTGTCAGTAATGATTGTATACCTCATTGCCCCTTCAACAAGCCCTTCCCTTAGCTCCTTATCTTCATTTTTCCGCGGGACCAACGGCGGGGTATCCATTGGATAAATCATCAACAAAGCTTCAGCTCATATACTACCTCATCCTCCTCCACCTGGCTACTCATTTCGGGCTAGGATTGCCTCCCTCGTGACGCCTTCAGCCTCTTGGCAGTCTCCAAAGCATTCAGTTTTTGTTTCCTCGGGGGTTTTATTCCTCCTCTCCCGAGCCCGCTGAAAGGGTTTCAGGTTTGCCCATGTTGCCCGTGTTTTAGCTATGCTACATAACTTGGTAGACGGGCATGACTGTCTTCTTCAATAACATAGCCGGCCTACTAACAGTCGATAGAGTTGTGCCGTTGTATGGTTTGAGAACCTTCAAATGCCCCTCCATGCTTTCATTTTCTCCCACTATTTGTGGGCTTTGTACGGGCCTGGAGAAAGAGAATGCCGCTAGTGCACGCGTACGACACAAAATGTAGCCGACTTCAACTAGTTGAATTTCATTCCCCGATTGCCCAATTAATGCGAAGAAATACCCGTGCGAGCTTCAGAACTATGCCCACCTGTCACAGACGAAAAGCTTAGGACCAGCGGAGATTTACCCATGTTTCGGCAACCTTAAAATTGTCCAATTGGGGTTGGAAAACGGCGATAAAACCAGAGTTTCGCATACAACAAGCGCCAAGACCCTATCCCGCTTTTACTTTTTGATCAATAGACATCCTAAAAAATGAATTGTTGATTTGTTATAACCTGCAAGGGAAAGCTCACGGGATTCTCTTGGATGGGCAATGAAAAATGTTGAGTTTAATTGATTGAGCAGAGGTGGTGTCATAATGTTGTGAAAATATGACTGCTGTGCATGTGAAACGTGCTTCTACTAGTGACTTCTGTCCTCAGCCTGGTTTGGTAGAGTACGCGTGGGGCTCCTGTGCTTTCCTGTGTTTCTTTCTAGTAATTGATGTAGCCTACCCGTGCCAAGGTTGTTACTCCGTCACCACCCCGGATTGCTCGCTTGCTCGCAACCTGGGGCACTTTCAAGAGCGTGCCTAATGGCTCAATGAAAATCACAGCTCAACAATACTTTCAATTAAATTTTGTAAGTGAATTTAAGAATTGCGAAACATTCTCTGATGCTTTAAACACCCTTCTGACTTTCTCATACATTGTTTTTAGTCTTTGCAAATAAGGCTTGAGAGGAAATATGGCTTCTATTTTTTTTTGCTCTCTTTTAGAAATTTTATTTTGGTGCGGTGGGAATTTGATCTGGATTAAGCGTGAAAGTGTCGTTGAGCTGTCATTTTCACTGACATGTTAGACACTACCTTGAGAGTGCCCTCGCTTGCGAGCAAGCGAGCAATCGGGGGTTGTGATGGAGTCACAACCTTGGCATGGGTAGACCTGTGCAGATAACACAATTCTTACCTGCCACTCTGTTATTTAAATGTGCACTCCACCATACTACCTCTACTACAAGGAGGGAAAGAACAAACAAAATGAGAGACACATCTAACGCTCCCGCGGGCATTGAGGTGGGAGCCAGATACTAAAGGATTCTGGGGGCCTGAATCTGATCTACCGTAGGAGAATGAGTGAATCCGGCATGTCTTCGGATCAATCGAGCAAGAAGTGTTGATACACCTAACCCCTGACGGTTCGGCCACCCGCATTCGTACCCGAGTCAGTTCTGTAGAAAGACGGCTAACCCGACCATGCCGAAGACTTATGGGAGGTGTTAGTGCGATATAATTGTTAGGTCTTCATCCCTGTATCGGGCGTAAATGTTGTTATGAGACGTGGGGGTTGGGTAGATAGGAAGAGGTTTTGAGGAAAGAATAAAGCTTCAGAGATGATTGGTATGAATTGCTCGCCTACTCTCTTCTGTCTACGGATAAGTGGCAGTTTATATAGAACAATCAGTCTCCTATCCACTGGCACAAGATCTTCCCAAGTTGCCCATTCCTTCTCCGAGGTTCGTGGTTATTCCAGGTAAACTGCTCCAAGCTATAGCCGAATGTCCGAGCATGGCCAAAGACCTCCGAACACTACCAACTAGTATCCAACTCTCCTGAACCTCCTTTCCGTTACATCTCTGAAACCTAACATACAATAAAATGAAAAACAAGCTAGCAGGGAAAATCTCTGGTAGTGTGAAACTTCTATACCATCTATCAGAAGACCAATACCAAATCATGTGAGTACCGGTGATTTTTTAACAGTAAACACGCTCCGGGGCTAGATTCACCCTGCTTTCGCAGCAGGCGGGAATCAAATTATTTTCATACTTGTAATATCATACTTGAATACTGTATTCCACCCTGGGGGGCCTCCCCTCATAGCTGGCAAGCAGGCAGGGCGCCCGAAGCGATTGGCTTAACCTTAGTTAAAATTTCAGTAAATGCGAGAATTTGGAATCTGAGCGTCATTTGGCCCTATTCGGCTTGCTAGATTATGACTATCATCCTCTGCACCCATACATATTAAATTCCACCGCCATCCAATCCTTTCCGCAATTTCATTCAGCGTCTGTCGTTGCCCTAGCCTGCTGATGAAGCTACGTACCAACCATGGTCACTTCAAAATGATGCCATGGTATCACAATGACCTTTCCAAATCCCTGTTTAGTGTTCGGTGCTCATCTAGCAATAATTAGATACTCTCTGGTTATTCCAACAAGACATCCCTGAATCTCTCCTTGACTTCGATTTGGCACTAGGCCAGCTGTACCAAATCTGTTGGGCCAATAATGCAAAAAGCCTTGACTCATCGACAACCTCCTCCTTCTCCACCCTGCCACTCCTCCCATGGCTTCATCAGATTTTTCATACATCCTGGGGTACTGAGTTGTTCTGTCCAAGTTCCATAGATTGGCTTTCAAGCACGCTCAAAGGGTTTCTGCCTCAAGGG